GCTTGGGATAAATAAAGTATATGCTGAAAGTTGCAAAATGGAATTTTGTGATTACTAGTGAAATCTTTAATAAATTAATATACAATTATTTGACTGAAAAAGCCAATGTTGTTCAATTGTGAGGAAGCTTTCGCTTGCCCGGTTCTCCTCTATAGAGATACTACAATTTTATTTTCTAATTATCATCAAGGAGGCCTTAATAGGCAAGTCTTGACACAATTAGCCAAAGGGCGTATTAAATAGGACAATGAAATTTCAGCTTCTCATTTCCAGTTTAGGTTCTTGCTAGTTCTAATAAATCACCTAATTGGCTTAAAAGGGGAAATGCATGAAATTCTCAGGTGATTTCATTTTCTCAGCTTCTTTAACCCCCTTCTCCTCCGCCTTCTTTTCTTCTTCCATTTCCACGTCCTTGGATTAAGGAATCGAACTGTTTCTATCTCTGCAACCCAATCCACTCGCAACGACATAGCTGACAGAGTCAGAGGGCTTCTTAAGATCTCGTTTGAAAATCAGTCCTCACGTCCTTGTTGCAGTTGGCAGGTAATAATGCCGACTGTCAATAGAACCACCTTCTTCCGGGAGGGAGAATGAAATGGAAAGCGAAGGAGAGGGAGCAAACAAAAAACGCCACAAGGAAAATAAACAAGGATAGAGAAAATGGAAAGACAAAGAGAAGCAAAACAGACAGGGAAGGGAAGGACTGCATAAAGCATAGTAAATATTTGAGAAATTAAAGACAAGCATTTCTTTTTTTATTAACCATCAATAATAACGATGATTCTTTCTTTACCTGTTATAAAGTTTTACATTCAAATAAACATGTGCCACTTGTAGAATTTCACTGGGGTTGCTGGAGATGCATCAGGATACAACTTAGAATCAGCTAAATTCCCTCTTTATAATTCAGCCTCTAAAGTCCATTGATCAGATAGCTAGACATTATCATGGCTCTCATGGCCCTTACATCAGAAGACCAGGAAAAGCTATAAATCCAGGAGGATGGAGTGATTCCCTTTAACCCATCTTGGATAGAAACGGTCCCTAACTTTTGTGGGGGTTCCTATGAGTCAGCTACTGTGTTCAGGTGGGTAGATATGTAGCTACATTCTCTACTCAACACCCACAATAAAAATCAATTGCTTTAGGCATTTATGTTTGTGCCTCATCCTCTCTATTTAAAGTGCAGTGGCAAACAGAAATCATCCTACCTGTGTCCCAATCACACAAACAATGAAATTAATCCATGTTGGTAACTGTATAAATCAACATCAATCATCACCACTGACTACTAATGTTAAGGCCTTTTATATGTAGGGTACTATGTAATTATTTTTTACTTCCATGACCACATTTATTTCTCACAGCCCAACAAGACATGTATTCTCAATAATATTCATTTTATATATAAGAAAACAAAGACACAAGGAAGCTAAGTAACTTGCCCAAACAGGTTAGCCATTTGTTTTAAAAACAAAAAGGTACATTTTGAGCATGAAATCACTAGAAGTCCTCTGATGACAGCACACACACACACACTCTCTCACGTACACATTAAATATTTGCAAAAGTGTAGTGATCCTTGAAATTTCAAGAACCTTGTGACTTCCTTGGGGGATATCTTAGATGAAAGTTTTAATTTAAAACATCAGTAATTTAAAAATATTATAGTAAGGGGGCAGAAAGATGAAAATCAATGAAACCTTGAATAATAACAACTAGAAAATAGATGCATTGCTCAACAATGATTTTAATCCCCACAAAATGAAGAGAGTGGGTAATTACATTTGCATAAGAAGTCTGACTTAGAGAATCAGGTCTCTCTCAAGAAACTAGTGACCATAAATGAATCCTTATGGCCTTGCCAAACTCACACATTCTGTTTTCCTCTTGGAGATCAAAGTGCTGATCCTTAGCCTGCAGATAGTCTAACCAAACCAAACTAAACCAAAACTATGTGGTCTATCTACTTAAAAATTTCAGTGGTCCCAATGGGAAATGATACATACAGGGTTTTTCTTCTTTTTGTCTTTGTCCTTGCTTGGTTTCCGGTTGCTGACAAAATAATGCAAGGTGCCATACTCCACCAAAGCAGAGAAGACAAAGATGAAGCAAACAGATACAAAGAGGTCCATCGCTGTGACATAGGAGACCTTGGGGAGTGATTTCCGGGCAATGGTGCTGAGGGTGGTCATTGTCAGGACAGTGGTGATACCTGAAGAGAAGCACAATAAAACAGATCATGTGATCTTACCAGCAAGTTGGGTAACAGAGTCACCACTGAGACGAAACTGGTTTTGTGACTTCTGATAAGCAGTGTCAGCAGTGGGAACGAAGGCATAACTGAAATTAATTCACTCTGTCCACAAATATTTATTGCCTGTCTTCTATCTACCAGTTACTGTCATAGTACTGAATACATACCGGGGAAATACAATAGATTTTGTAATGGCCCTTATGTACCTTATATTTTAGTGAGAAAGACACTCTATGAATCAAGCCAGGAAGAAAAGTGTAATCTCAAATTGTGGTCTGTGCCTTGCAGAACAGCAGAGATGGTGAGAACCTAGTTAGACAGAATGCTTAGGAAGGCCTCTTTGAGGAGTTGATGTTCAAGGTGAAGCTTAAAATATCAGAAGAAATCAACTATTTTGACTATTAATAAATTAATGGAGGGTTCTGAGGAAAGGAAGCCTTGCCTGCTTTAAAATTTCTAGAATGCCTGGCATCTGGGGAGAGACAAGGGGATCAAGGTGATGTTGGTGAAATAGAAGTTTTCTTATGTGGTGCATGCAAATAGGTTTGCATTTTATTCGAAATGCAAGGGGGAATGGCTCAAAGGTGTTAAACGGGGTGAGTTGTGTGTAAGTGACAGGGTCTGATGATGAATTCTTTAAATTACAGGATGAAAATAAATATCTCAGAAATAACATAATAACTGATATTTTTTGAAAACTTCCTTGTGCTAGGCATGATTATGAGCACTATGTGTACATTGTTTCTTTGAATCTTCACAGCAGATATTTTCATTCTGATTTTATAAATGAGGAAAATGAGGCCAAAGGACAAGCAACACCATTAAGTAGCAGAAGAAGAACTGAATACAGACATTAAATGTCTGATTCCAAAACCCTTCTTTTACTCGTTGTACAACAGTACCCAAGAAAACCAGCCCTCCCATTGGTTGTTTAGTGACAAGGAACACAGTTAAGATAACCTATATGCGTTGATCAGGGGCTCTTCTAGTATAAAAGCTATGCTATTTATAACACAGGCAACATGGATGTGGTATTCAAACAGGCTCTAGCTCTTACTATATAGGAACTTGAGTCATCTTTTCATAGTCTGAGCCTCAGTTTTTTCCTCTTTTAGACAAACTCTTTGAAGGCTCACCCATTTTTTTATTCTATGATTCTAGTTAAGCATCTCTTAGCATGGCTGGAAGCATCTTTCTGTATTCCAAAAGCAGTAACTTCATGCCATTACCATCTCCAGGTTTATGATTTATATTCCTCACAGGGGGAAAAAAAGTTTCCATCATTTAGTGATGTGCAGTTATGACTATTACTGCTGACCAAGAGACTTGGAGACAATCAGGTACCTCTGTCTTAAATGGAGGTGCTAGGGAAACTCAGAAGGAATCAGGCGCAGAAACCTGGGGAGCAATGAGGGAGGAGGAAGCTACAGAAAAGGACAGCAGCATCATACAGGAAAAGAGAAAGAGCTTTTGTTCTCTAAGACATGGGTTACTGATATAACATGCTTAGAAGATGACTGAACGAAGCCAAAATACTCTTGAAGAAGGGCTAAGACAAAAATTGGCATATTTCTTCTTAATCACTAAAGTCTTTGTCAGAAACATTTTTTAAAAGGTTTAGCTATATTTCCAAGAACATGTGGTTCTCTTGGGTCACTTAATTTTAGCATAATATCAAGTTTTGCTAAATACATACTATGTTATAAAATTCCAGAGAGGGGAAAGACTAGTGTCGGCCTTTAGTAGAGGAAAGAGGTGATGAGGGAACTATACATATCAATGCCATAGCCCCTTTTCTGTGCTTTGACTGATTATGTAATAACCCATCTCCCCTTCTAGTCTGTCTACTCTGTGACAACAGGCATCTACCTTGACTACTGTGACTCCACAGTAGAGCATCACACTGGGACTCCATAAACATCAAATGACTATATGAAACAGTGAATCAATGAATATTGTATATGTAAAATGCCAATAGGCTCAATCTATATTAGAGAATAGGAATCCATATTTATGACTTGTGGGAGATAGTTTTAATTGCAAATAACAGTAGCTAATTTTTATTGATCTTTTCCTTTGACCAGGTCCTGTGTCAAGCACTACAAAATCCTCACAGCGATCCTATGATGTAAGCACTATTATCCATTTGTTTATAGGTGAAAAATATTGAGCACAGAAAGAATAAAAACTTGTCCAAAATAGTATGTGGTAGGGATGAGACACAAACTGAGGCAGCCTGACTTCAAATACTGTGCTCCGAACCACACTGTTTTATTTCCATAAATATATGGAAAGATATCCGTGCAGAATGAAGCAGCAGGCAGTTGGGAGCTAGTGTAGATTCTCCTGACGTGGGTCTGGGGATCTTCTGTGTTGTCCTGGTGGATTCTCAGGAAGGTTCAAGTTCCTTATCAACAAACTGAGGGTTGAGGAGGTGATGGAGGAACCTCACGAGGCTCTTGCGAAGGTTAAATTAAATCATGTGCATAGAGTGCCAACACCTTGTGATGCCTAAATAAATGTTAGATATTGGTGTCATTTATTTTAGAGAAGAAAGATCTATTTCTTAAACTAAAAAAAAGCTTCAGTTAGGTTGGTTATGCATTAATTCATGTAGAAGTTCTTGGTTGTACCTAATCACAGCTGGTATTTTTGTGGAGCAGTGAAATACTAAATTGGCACCTCCGCCTCGTTTTGCAATCAGGCCTCAGGCCACATTTGACCTATAACAAGTGAAAATGTCAGTGTTTATGCAGATACCAGAGATGAGTTCGTTTTTAAAAATCTGGCATGTGATAATTTCGGCAAAACAAATTCTGACATGTAAGTTAAACACTGATATAGCAAATCGGAAGACGTTATTTAGGCTGCAAGGAAGTTCATCAGCACCATGTAAAAGTAGAATCTTGAAGAATTTCTTCATAATATTTTCAGAGTTCTGCCTGGAGCCACAAGGAAGAAAACTGCTATGACATCAAGAGTGAGAAGTAGAGAAGTGGTGGTGTTAACTGATTCACCAACCAGCAATAGCATAACATTTTAACATAACAATAACATTTTAAATCCAGTTTTGCTAAGCAAAGAAATGAAACTCTTACCTGGGGTAGATGAAAAATATCCATAACTTTTACCAATTCCTCTAGTCTTGGCATGAAGCAAGTTCCTTGCGGATGTTACCTCAAATCATTTGGGTGAAAAATACCAAGTGATATTTTCATCATTTCATCCATTGTCACTACACCAGGAATAAACCTCGCTGACTACCACCTGTGTACCAAGCTACATTAAAGTGTTACAAGCTCCAAGATGATGGTTTCCCATACTCTGGTGCTCTGTGCTCAGAAATCAGCCACACTCTCTGAGCCATGTGGACATATTTATCCCACTCATTAAACAACTTGGCCCTAACTGTTCTATCTCAAGAAGCTTAAAGTCTGCAGGTGTTTAAGGTTACCTCATTTAATTCTTGATTGTAAACCTTGGAGAAAGTAATGGGCCTCTCACTGAAATCTAGAGCAGTATTCTAAAAGGGGACTTCACATTAGAATTAGCTGGGGATTTTTTGTTCTTAATCCTAACACCTAGGCCATGCTCTAGAAAAATTAAATAAGCAACTCTTGGGGTTTGACTAAGGCATCTGTGCTTTTAAAAGTCTCCTAGTCTGCAGTGAGCTATCATCATCAGGCCACTGCACTCTAGCCTGAGGGACAGAGACCCTGCCTCAAAAAAATACATAAATAAAGTCTCCTCGTGAACGAGTGATTTAAATGTACAATTAAATTTAAGAAGCACTAATCTGGAGAAGTGAGACAGAAAAGTTAAAGTAGAAAAACTGGCTCAGCTGTGCTTCTCACTGCACCCATGACTGGCCTTCAACAAAGCCTCCCACCCAGAGCAAACCTGTGTCCCATTAGCCAAGGTGCGGATCTGCTACCTCCTTATTGTCGGACCTTGTGTAAGTTATTCTTGCAGCACCTCTACTTCCTTAGCTCAGCTCCAAAAGACATGACAATAATTGTCATTACAACAGTTTCTACATGCAGTTGTAAAGACTAGAAAAGGCCAAGGACCACCCTGAGCATGCCTGATTTATCAATGATCAACAAGTAGAAGCACCTGCTACTTATTTACTCATGAGGGGCCTCTTCCTCATTCTTTATTTTGCACACCTTGATCCCTTCTGACAACATGGTTTTTGACAATGAACATTTATTTAATGAGTGAAGTTAGCTACTCAAGTGATTATAAGAGAGATTTTGACCGGCAGGAGTCCCGGCTTCCAAAGGAAAGATTGATTTGAAATCTTTTCCTTAAAATGTTTTTGGGAAGAGGGTGGTTTGCAATGTATTAATTGATTTGTTCCATCCATTCACAAGTGCATACATTAATTGAACAATCATTGAGGTACCGTCTGTGTGCCAGGCACTATGCTGGAGATGAAAAGACACTGACATTCTGACATGAGAGACAGATATGCAAGCATGTAATAAAATATATTCTACTCACGGTGACAAGTAATAGTCCTAAAGTAAGAGGCTCAACATATTTTGGGTTTGTTTCAGCATGTAGCATTAGACAAGATATTTTAACCGTTGAATAGGACTTGTAACACAAAGTACTGCATGTAACAGGAAAAATCAAAATAACTTCATTTTGAAACAGATGGGAAACTAAATTAGGTTTGGAAGAGGACAGATATGCAAATGATGTCTTTTTTCCCCCCAGTAATCACTTCTGCCCTCAGTTTAATAACCTAGTACAGATCATTTTGTCAGAAAATGACTATAGTAGCCAACATTTCTGAGGCTTTACTCTGTTCTGTGTGCTTTGCATAGAATACTTTATTTAATCCTAACAGAACCGCACGAGTGAGTACAGGAATTGGTATATGTTTTCTTTTGTTTGAGGAAACTGTGATTTGAAGAGATTAAACAGCATTTCAAGGTTATACTATATATGTAACTTGAAACCCAGATTTGTTGGACGTCAAAGCTGAGTTTTTAACTATTACATGATGCCGCCTCTCTAGCCAGAGTTAGCAAGTGATGTGGTTGTAGTTTTGACACAGTTGATGAAAGGGTAGTGTGGATCTATAATGCATCTTTCACTAGCCTTA